AAAAATATGTACAAAAGGTAGGCAAGTACCATTACACACAACATACAGGCAACGACATAGAGGCAGGAAAAGAAAAGACCATTCCCAAATTCACGGAGAGGCTCTTTCTTTGGAAATAGTACTTTGGTTTTCTTCCCTCAGGCCCCAAAGGAGAACAGCTCAAGTCAAAAGCCATGTGTACAAAGCCAAACCCAAAGCCCACAGGCATATGGCAGCACAGGCATGATGCCCTTTGACTCACTCTGGGGCCCTTAATGTCGTTCCCAGGCTCAGCAAAAGGGTTTGCACCAGTTTAAGCACACTGATAACATGGGGAACTATAGTCCTGGCCCTGCCTTTACACCAAGTCACTCAAAACTTAGTTGATCCCCGCTTTGATTTTCCTGCTCATTGCAAAAAGCTAAAGAAACTTTGATTGAAAACAAGCAAAAGCCAATATTTCAGGTCTTTCAAGATGTTACACAGCCACATCCGCTGTTACTGAAGAAGATTCACACCCACAATAAGCCTTCACTTCCTCACATAGAACAATAAATAGGCAATGTCTTTTCTTCATTACCAATGCACACAAGACTATCCCAATGGACGAGCCCTCATCCTTGAAGTCACCGGAGCAGCTCCCGTTGACTTCAGGGCAGATCATCAGCTTCTACCCGGATTTACCCTGTTGTTTCCAAGACTTTTTAAAGCTTTACATGAGCTTCCAAACAGTTCAGCCTGAACCAGACCAACTGTAAGTCTCTTCCCTAAGTAGTTTTTAAGGGCAACTGTCTTCCTCATCACTGAAGCAAGCTTTAGTCCTCATCCTGCAGTTATGAAGAGAAAGGTCATGGCCTTCAAAGAGTGCTGAGATTCAACTTTGCATGACACCTTCATACCATGAAACTTTTGTTTCCAAATTCTCCTCCTCACTCTACGTCCTGAAGTCCTGAACAGGGTAACAGAGTTTTATCCTCAAAACAACCCTGCAAAAAAGGGTTATATAATATAAACAGCTACCCAAATGTTCACAGAGGAAACAAAACATACAGGTCCACAATGGACTATCAAAGAGTCAAAGACGGGGACAAAACTCAATACTAAAATACACTGCCTCAAATTCAGCATGCCTAGTCACCCTACAAGTTCCCTAAAGAACCCAAAACCTCCATCCTGCCCTACTTTATTCTAGTAAAAATAGTTATTTTGCTTGTTGAAAATAGATGGAGCATTTCTACATCTTCTGCTCTTCCCAGAGAGCAGAGGAGCCCCAAAGGACCGGACTGCAGAGCAGTTGCACCGCTGACTTTAGCTCATCCACTCCTCTGCGGCTTTCTCCCTGGAGTAAGTGTGCACAGCATCGCTTTCCTTTTGTGCGAGCAGGTTTCTCACCACAGCCAAAAGTTCATGCTTGGGTTATCTCACCTGGCAGCTGGAAATATTTCGAAGTCTGAGCTGAGCTGAGAAGTCTTGGCAGGGAAAGGCAGCTCACCAGCCCCATCTAGTCCTGCCTACCAGAGACTGCGCCTGGTGTCCAGCCAGCTCTGGCTTCGCTGGGGTCTTTCTCCATCTCACATTGCAGATGCACAGCGCGGACGGACTTTGCTCATTCCTTTTCATCACTTGCTCTTCCAAGCACATCTTGTTGGGAACCGAAAAAAATCAGTGCAGGAAACGAAACGACCTGTGCGCTACCCAACCACGTGCACAGAGGCATCACCTGTTCAGGAAAGCAGCCCCACGTTTTCAGCAGGGAGTTGGTACTATGAATTTGTGTTATTCAGCTAAGATAACTTCAATACTTTTCCCTCCTTTTACAAGGCACTTCCACAAGTTTGCCTTAGCCTTTAGCACGCTCTTGCTGTCACTCTAAGCATATGCTGTAGTTTAATCATTGAAAACTCCAGTTGACAAGACTGGGAGTAAGGTGGAAAAGCAAAGGAAGACGCAAAGTACTCTGCCTACAAGAGATTTTCCTAGAGCAGACAGATCCTTATTGCTGACAGACAGCAAAAGTTTGCTTTAAACTCCGAATCCTTCAACTTAAAGCAAGTGATTTAGGTTCCCTCACAGACATTATAGGTACCTCACCAAGACACTCAGAGCACCATTTGTCAACCTGCACTCCCACCACATTATGCAGAAATAAGCGCAATTTTTGTAAAGATCACAGGTCACAGGCAGAGATCCAGCAAGCAGTATCTGACCCACAGAAAAAAAAACAAACCACCATCATTAAGGGTAAATTTTACATTTTAAAGAGAGTCTGACTTATGCTTCCTCTCCCTTTTCAAGGTAAAAGGCTTACAAGAAGCAGTATTTTATCGCCTAAGAAGTGACCCTGAGAATGAATTGGCTGTGCAATAACATATTCATTTACTGTTTTAAAGAAAATAGGAATAACAGCAATGAATGCAAACATAAAGCACTCTCTTATTATAGGGTTAGGTTTTTTCCCTACCTTTACTAATACCTTCATAGTTATATTAACCAACTCTCAAAGAATAAATACCTTCCACTGCATTTTAGAAATGCAGATCTAGCAGCATTACAGTTATGCATAAATACTATAATTATTATTATAGTTAAAATCTCAGTCTTGTAGGACAAATAATCTTAATTAATCTCAACTGACCTAAACTACATACAATTTTCAGATCAAATGTTGATCACACTCAGCATCTAGAAGCTGTTGCATTAACACAGCCCTCTGTCCCCTATGCACAGAGACGCTTTGTATCCCTGACCACATTAACCCACCAGAAGTCCTTTCCATCACAGCTGACTTTGGTCCTACTTGACTGCAACAGATCCAGAGGAAAGCAAAATCCCAGTAAATGCCTCTCATCTCTTCCAAAGCACCTGGCAGCCTTTCTGGATTAGGCCAGCACTGGTTAAGGGGGACACATCGAGCTCAGATGTACGAGGTTTGCCTGCCCTTTCCCTCTCACTATACACAGTCTCCTCGGGGGCCAATTGATAATCCCTCCCCCAAGGCACTCAATACAAACTTAAAAGAATTTTAAATGTTCTTTAGCCAATTCTAAAAATCCCTTTACGAATTCCAGAGTGAGCGTGTGAAGTCGACATACACAGACTGTATGTACAGCAGACAAGCAAACAGCTCATTTCCAAGTCCAGTGAAGGGATAACCAGATGCAGTCATACTTTAATGCAGTCCAGATGATGCTTGAGATGCTGTATTAAATATCGGAACCTCCAGCTAGGGTTTTAGGGCTTTTTTTGTCTCTTTCACCTTAGCACAGTGCCATATATCCAGAACAAGAGTCACAATCATTTGCAGATCACTTTTCCCAAGTTATACCCAGAGACACCACTGAGCACCCACCCCACACACCCACATCGCCAAAAAGCACCAGCTAAATCTTCTTCTCCAGATCGTGTTGCTTCCCAGAAAAAAACCATCCTCTGGCTGTTGGAGACAACTAAGGAAGAGATGAACACTACTGTTCCCAACAGAACTAATTTTGAGAAATCAGGGCAAAATTCACTCTTTGAGCGCTACCTTCTCCATCTGTAGAGCATCCCCAAGGAAATTAAAAGTCAAACCAAACCACAAAAGACAGCAACAAATAAAATCTGGGAAAGGCCTACACTCTGAAAAGTGCAAAGTTTACTTTTGCCATCTGTGGCTATATAACTCAGCAGGGAACAAGCACAGTGGAAAACCAGAATAACTTTGAGTCAACAACTGAATGACTGATGACTTTGCAATGTACACACATATCCAGAGGGCATTGCCTGCTGGGTTTGAGAAGCGTTCCTCCCTTCTTGCTGATCTCCCTGTGCTCCAGCCAAGGAATTTGTGCCAAAAAAAAAAAAAAATTCAAAGTATTATTTCAAACAACATTAATTGGGGTGATGTTGCAAGAGCAGAGTGAAGCCTTTGGAATATAAACTCCTTGCCTCCACGCCCTCCCAGTCAGCCTCAGTTGCTCCTGGTTAAGCAGCTGCAAGGTGCATGCGGTGACTGCACCAAGGTGAAAGGAAAGATGTAGAACTAGACCAAAAAAAAGCATGGAAAGAGGGAGTGCGCGTGTTAGAGATCACAGGTACAAAGAGAGCAAAGCAAATCATTTAGGGCAACACATGCTCCTTTGAGCTGTCATCAAAGAGCCAGCAGACGCTGCCCCAAAATTCACTTACAAGCGTGCACGGACTAGGAATGAAATAAGGTCAGAGAGCTGCAAAGAAATCTTCTATCCTCAATATAACAACAAAGCAGGGAAAACAAGGGTGGAATACCTTTTGCAGACAACGATGCTACTCTCCCATCAAACTGAGAAGACATAAGGCCTGATTTTAACTTCCAGTTCCTGCTAAACACTTCATGTGTTGTCAGCTCTCAAAACAAGTGCTATATTTCACTCTTTAGAAAAACAGAATTAAACTAGGTTTTGCTAAGGGAAGACAAGCACATCTTGTTTTGCGAATCAAGGCTAGAACGTCAGAGTGTTGCAATCTTGAGAAGCATTTGGCTTCCCAGGCTTATCTCCAAGGCTGAAGTTGCACACATGGACAGGTCTGGAGATGGAAGGGGCAGGACCAAGGCACACAAGGCTGACCCACTGTCAGCCAAGCACGACCAGATGAATTCCCTGAACAGCAGCTTTAGAGCCATTAAGTCCCTTTGGCTCCCAAAGAAAGTTAATGACAAGTTACAAAGCTGTTTTTACAAAACACCACATGCCATCAACAATGAAGGATGAACTGAATAAAGATTGTGAAGCAGAGAAGCATTAGAGATTACAAGGGAGGAAATGTATTACAAGGTCCCTGGTCTGGACACAGTCCCTTTGACTTC